GGCAGGACCCTAAATGATGACAGTCGAGTCATGCTCTGACCCTCAATGCTGTCACACTGGGAGATGTCACAGATGTAGGCTATAGAGAAAGTGGTGACCCTGGGAGTTGAACAGTGCTTCTGGCCTTTCTTGTCAGACTCCTTGTCTGATGGTGGTAGAATCTCTGAGGGAAGTGGTGATAATGGGGAGAATTGGACATCAGTGGTGGTCCTGTCATTGGGGAGAATTCGATAGGTACCCGGACTGCTTATCAAGGCTGAGTGTTCTCAAATTGCTGAGATCTTCACGGCATTGGGATCCTGACAAGGAAGGCTGGCTAGCTTCTGGGGAGGATCCTTGAAGTAATTGCCTGATGGGCATGTGATTGTAGTGACTGAGGTGTTGATGGAAATAGGCTCAGACTTCCAGGGATGGAGAGTCTGAGATCCACAGCTCTGGGGGATCCAGTTGACTTCGAACTCTGATGTCACGGTTTCCCATCTCTGCCAGGTTGGAGACCAGAATGGTTCATGTTTTCTTCCCAGTGGAGCCAAAGGAAAGAGCTCAAAGTTCTAGGCACAGAAACAGAGTAAAATCTCCCTGGTCCTCAGAATCTCCTTCTGCATCCTGTCTTCTGCCTGCCTGCTTGAAACCATCCAGGAAATAGAAGTAGTCCATGCAATTGTGTCCTCCAGGAGACCATCCCTCCACTGTCATCACCAAATACTTTGTTCTTCAGACTGGTTCCTGGCAGGTTAGCACAGAGGCCCTCAGTGCCCTGGCCCATCAGAGGGTGGCCCTGGCCCTTTCTAAAAACCACATACACAGAACCCCAAGTTTTCTGAACCCCCAGGCCCGCCCTTCCATTTTCCTTTTCTCTTGGCATCCTGGTCTCTCCCCGTCTTATTCCTTGGGAACACGGAGAGGCAGGCGAGCTCTGCAGCCTAGTCTCACATTCCATGGGAAAACTGATGCCGGGCAGATTTCCTCGTTGCAGCTCTGGAGAATCTCACTGCCCTTCTGCTGGAGAGTGTCAAGAGGCTGGGTGCTCTCCAGGGGCCATTTCTATTTCTGAGTTCAAGCACTGCCTGGGTCTTCCAGCTTCCCTTCTTGTTGTTTCCCCCACTCAGCTCTTCCTCGCAAGCCAAAGCCATTCTACCCCAGCTAGACAACACAGCCCTCTGGCCCTGAGTTCAAGTACTACTGATCAGGCAGACTTGGGCTTCAGTGCCAGCTTTGTTATATATTGCTTCTGTGGACTCGAGAGGTCACTCTACTTCTCGGTACCACAATTTCGTCATATGGCAGTAATGGTAGCTACCTCATAGGCCACTAGAGGATACAGTGATATAATGCAGATAAGGACCTGGGCTTGGAGATCGGCAAATGGTTGCCCTGTGGGAGTGGTTAAACCTTTACATCTGGCCCTGTCGTTCTGTTTCGTCTATGGCATGGGCCAGTTGAGAGGTGATATGTGTAGCATTCTGGGACCAACCTGCCCTGCTTGAACCCCAGCTCTGCCATTTTCCTGCTGTCTAGCTTGGGCAAGTTACCTCCCTTCTGTTCCGCTTTTTTTTTTTTTTTTCACCTACAGCATGAGATTGGTCTTAGTCCCTACACCAGTGTCCAGCACCTAGAAAGCTACAGAGCCATGCTCATCCACGTGGACCAAGCCTGGGGGACAGGGTGTCTGGGAAGTCTGGTGTCCAGAGAAATGCCCATTCTTGGAGGAAACTCCCCAGCTGGAAATCTTGCTCCTTTGTAAGACTATTTCCAAGACTTTCTGCTGATTCTGAATTTCCCGGAGGGTAGAAGAAGGGGGTGGCATGGGGTGGGGGCTTGCCGAGAAGTGGAACCCGAGATTATCAAAACCGTATGGGGTTGATTCTGGCCAGACACTTAATCCCACAACAGAGGCGGCTCCGACTGCCTTGAGAAGCGGGTGTGTGCTGTGCTGTGTGTGTGTGTTAGGAAGGGACTATGCTCAATTTAATTTTTTGTTAATCATACATGTGTTGGAGCTTATTCTGTGCCAGCCACACAAAGCCCTGTTGAAATGGATGTGGACAAGGCTCAGTCTCTTCCCCAGGGAATTCTCAGCAGATGTTGATGGCAGGAAGCTTCATCTGAAAAGGCTGGGAGCTCCCTGAGCAGGAGGGACATTAGGTGACTTTGGGAAGCTGTTAGCTTCAGGGACCCTGGGCCTTCAGGAACCATGAGTCTTTATGACAGAAGGTATCAGCCTACTTCAGGTCTTGAGCTTGTAGTCGATACTGTGTGCCCCAGGGAGGAAGATGTCTGTGTAGAGTGTGTAGCAAGCCTCCATATCCTGCTTGGGGAGCTAGGAATCCATGCTTCCTGTCAGAGAGTTAGCACCTTTGTCAGAGACAAGCAAGCAGCAGGCCATCCTCATCCGTGGATTCTAGACAAACTGGAGACAGTGGAGTTACCATGCTGAGAAGGTTTGAGCAGGAGGAGGCAAGCCCACCCCCATTTCTAGAGAGACTAAGACCCAGTGCCTGAGGAGGGGGTGCGGTCATTACAGCTTGGGTGTGGGAAGCAGAGGAAGCCAACTGGAAGGTAATGGCTGGGGGAGTTATATGTACCAGCAGGGGAGGTTATATGCCTGTTTCTTGTGGGCATTCACTCTCTACATTCTTACTTTACCAGGCTTTCCTAGTCAAGCAGGAGACTATTTGACGTAAGGCATGCCACTAGCTCCTAGATTTTCTTTCTTCCTTAGCCCTGGGGTCCCAAGAAGCGGGAACATTTCTAGGTATGTTGGCTATTGGGGAAGCCGGTAAAAAGCTGAAGGTTTAGTGTGAGATCAGAATGTCCAGGAGTCAATTCTCTGGAAGGACTCAACAATCAGGCCCTTCCTGCTGCCGGACACATGGCATTGCACCCTGGTCAGGCCCTTCCTGCTGCCGGACACACGGCACTGGAGCCCTGGGCTGGAGATTGTGGAGGGAGCTTGCCCAGAGTCAGCCAGTGAAGGGTGGAGACAGGGCTGTGAGGCAGGCCCAGACACTGGGATCAGGATGTGCTCCTTCACCTCCCAATGTCAGAGCCGTGGAGTTAATGTCCAAGGGTCTCTGTCCTGGCAGCATCTTGGGCTGGCCTTCCATGCTCGCCTCTTCTCTTCTTTCTATTTCTCTGAGGCCCAAGGCACCTCTGAGGCCAAGGGAGGATTTATGCCTGATGTCTCAGTGCCCCTGGGACCTGAGCAAGATCTGAGGCAACCTCTCCCACCCCGGATGCTTATCTGTTGTCTGTGGGAGGCAGAGAACTCCACGGCTGGGTGACTCTACAGACAGACTAATGGATTGGTACACAGGAAGTGGGTATGGGGGCAGTGGGTAGGTGGAGGTCAGCTACAGGCATGGGTGCATGAAGGGGTGGGTGATTTACGTCAGTAAAAACAGTTTTCTAGCCATAGCAACTGTTCTGGAAACCACCCTTTGGGACTCTGAGACCTGAGATACTTGAGGTTTTGAACACCTGTCTGTAGAAGAGGCTGCGACACTTCCCGTAGCCCAAGGCTCTCTGCTCCTCCTCTTTGCCCCATTGTAACTCCCTCCCGCCACCCCCCCCCCCCACTCCATCTCTCACACACCTGGATGCTTGAACACCTGTCTGGACAGCAGAGACAGGGGTGCCTGAGGGCTGGAGAGGGATGGTGGAGCATGATCCCCTCACTTCAACTTCCCCTTAGTCTTGTCCAGCCAGGCCTGGCTTGGTTACTGGCTGATGTCCATCTGATAAAATGATGGTTTCTCTTACCAGACAAGAGAAAGAGAATCTATCTGACTCTAGGAACTTGAATTCGCCAGTCCCACTGGACAGGTCCTTGGAGGTCATGCCCTGTAAGCTTCCATAGGAAGTTTCCCAGGCACAGAGCATTACTGTGGACTGTTCCAAGAGCCACAGGGTCTTCGTCCTGCAGATTAGACTCTCTAAGACTCAGTGTGGCCTGTGTGCATGGAGGGTGTGGCCTGTGTACGTAGAGGGGGTGGCCATGAGGTTCTTCCATGATGAATCTTGCAAGTGTCCCTGGCTGCTCTTTTCTTCTACCCCATGGGCCTGTCTTCCTTCCCTGATCCTTGGGTCCCAGTCAGTGTCTTTGATATCTGGCCCCAGGATTGCTCTGATGGGGTAGGGCCCTGCTCAGGCTGTCTGAGACAGAGGGCTTATCTTGAGGTCAGATTTAGAAGGGCTGGAATGGAAGATGGGGGCCTATCCTCCAAGGCTGCTGACCCGTCTCTCGTATTTGTTCATTCTCTAAGCCAATGTGTATTGATTCCCTTCCTTGTACCAAGCGATCTGTTGGAAACCAACACAGATATGACCTTTGTCCAGGGAGAAGGACAAACTAGCAAAATAGGTTACTGTAATGAATGCTCTGTGTGTGAGTGTGTGTGTGAGCACATGCGCATGTGCAAGTGTGTGTGTGCGCGCATGTGTGTGCAGGTGGGTGGTATGTAGGGGAGAACAAGGGACGCAGAGCCATGGGCATTTGGGAGGAAGCAAAGCTACTTAACCCAGTCTGAGTCTGGGATGCTTTTCTGGAGGAGGAAACCTCCAGCCCCAGAACAGAAGTGGGGGAGGGGAGAGAGAAGAGTGCTGGAGGGAGCAACACGGTGGCTAGGAAGTTCTCCTGGACAGGAGAGCCGCATCCTCTTATCCCCATTGAAGCTTCCCTACTCCTCATCCTTGAGACACCTGGACGCTGAAATACCCTTCTGGATGGTGAAAACAGAAAAGTCTGAGGCTTCTGGGGGACTTTGTTCAGCTCGCTGATGCAAGCTTTGTGTAGCTGAATAGAGAGTGACAGGCTGGGGAAAGATGAACTAGGTCCTTGATGGTGGGGCTGGCTCTGGGAGCGGCAGAGTGTGAGGTGGAGGCTGATGAACAGATTGCTTAGAACTCAGGGTGCAAAATATATGCTGCCATTCCACCTCCTCCCTTCCTATTCCTGTCCTCCTGGGGAGAGAGTGAGCAGACAGACAGATCCATGGGTACCAAGCAGCTTTATTGGAAGCCCTGCAGTCTAGCCAGGGAGAGGCTGTGCTCTCGCCACACAAACCCGCACATTCATATTGATGCTCTAGGCACAGCCCTGGCTGGGTTAGGTCTGGAGCAGAGCATCAGGAGGCCTGGTCCTCTCTTCTGGGCCTTGGTTCCTTGAGCCAGTGTGATTCAGATCCCTTTGCTCAAGACACAGGGCTCCTTCTGGTGCCGTCATGGTTAACTGCTGCTGTGTTTGCTCTAACGGAGGAAGGAGAAGCAGGGTCATGGGCTGGAATCTTGGACAGGGGTTGGAGGATGGAGGCGGGGCTGAGGAGGGTCAGGCTTGCCTTAGACTTCTTCAGTCTTCGGATGATGCGTTCCACCCAAGGCTGGTCTGGGGGTGCGCAGAGTTGGTAGCCCCTCAGTGTGGTGAACCTGCAGCCAGAGGTCAGAGGGAGTGAAGGCCTGTAACTCAGTTTCCTAGAAGGCTCTAGAATGAGGGGCAGAGGCTCGGAGGTCATGTGTGGGGACCTGCTTCTGGAACTTTATTGCAAGGTTGCCTCGGCCATGGGTCCAGGGATAAGGCTGACGGGGAGATGGGCTAGACATTCTTCCCACAACTCACACAACAGCAGGCACCCTGCAGCCATCCTTCATAAGAAGGTAGCGGAAGGCTTTCACGACGTTCCCAGGGATGGGGCGCTGGGTCACCGACAGACAGCAGTCTTCCGCATCGTTAGCACCCCCAAGAGCTGGGGCTGAGATAGGAGAAAGAAGGGGAGAAGACATGCAGGCCATGAGGAAGGAAGGCCACAGCCCTAAGTGACTTCAGCAGCGTCTCTGTGTGAGAGGGAACCGGACCTGGTACGCAGCCACCGTGTGCCACTGTGGCCCTGGCAGCTGCTGGACGTATCGTAGTCAGCTAAGGCATTTAATAAACAACCATTTCTGTATGTCTTCTTGCTGCCCTGGCCACACAACCTCTCCTAGATTTTCTCCATTTTCACCATGTTTCAGAAAATAGAGAGTTAATGGTAGTCACAGTGCCGGGACAGGGGACGCTTGCCCCAGCTGAGGGCCTTTGCAGTTGTATGAACTACTACATAGCCAGCAGATGGCTGTCGCACTGAGGAGGCCCGGCTATTAGGGAGACTGAGACAAAAGGATCAATCGCTTGAGCCCAGGACTTTAAAGCCAGCCTGGGTAACACCAACAGACCCTATCTCAAAAACCAAACCAAACCACCAAACAAGGCCCCTAAAAAGAAACAACCAGAAGGGAACAGGTTGTTAAGCACACCTGCTTCAGTGTTTCTCATTCTCTCAAACTGAAGCAGATACACAGCAAAGCTCTAACCCACAACCCCGGCAGTGGGATCAAAACTAGGGCTTCAGACACGACACACACACTCCAACTTAGTTATGCTCATAGGTTCCTTCTGCTGCCTGGAAACGGAGATTATCATATCAGGACATGATGCCTGCAGAGAGATGGGCAGCTATAGGCCCCAGGATATGCCAAGACTGGAGCCACATTGGAACTCAGGGATACAGGCACCCTCGTTCTGACAGGCACACACAGAAGACACAGGGAACCCCTAGATTCACTGACATGAACTTGTAGGGTCTTTCATGAGCATCATAACAGTCTGAGATTGAGACATTACCCACAAGCCATTGTGTGTCCCCCCCTCCACACACACACCTTAGTTATCTCCTCAGCCTTACCTGGGAAGGTCCCGAGAACCAACAGGCTGAAGACCAGCAGTGGGGCCACACGGGGTGCCATGGTGGGTGAACTGAGGCAGGCCACAGAGAGTGCGTAAGCGTGAGAGTTCTTGGGTGTGTGCAGGAATCTGTGAGAGGCTGAAGCACTGCCGGGTGTGCAGGGGAGTTATCGGAAGCACTTGGGTGCCCTGGTGTGGTTTGAGAGGATTCAGAGGCAAGAGGATGTGAGGCCGTGTGAGGCCCTGTGAGCCCTAGAGAGCCTGTACGAGCCTCTTTGAGCCAGTAAGAGACTGCTCCAATTTATGCCCTTGATATTTCTTTCACTTTCTGTCCAAAAATTCCCTTTGGGTCTTCCCGTTTATCCCCCTCTGCCCCCTTTCTTTTGGCAAAACATGACCTTGGCTTCCTTCTTCCCCCACTCAGTGGCTTCCCCTTTGCTTTCTTTGGCTTTAGCTCTGAGAACTTCAACAGTCTGGGCAAAAAAATAAAAATAAAAAAATAAAAAAACGAAAAGCCCTGTGTCCTGTCGGCTCCAGGGAGAGGGTGTGTGCTGTCCTCTGATAGTGCCACTGGCATTGTCTGCTTAGGCCTGGGCATCAGAAGCGCTGTTAGGGCAGAGTAGTTAGGGCCGAGTTGGGAAGTGGAGCTGGAAGGGAAGGTTCCTGAGGACAAGGCCCAGGACCCTGATCCTACATCCTGAGCCCCTGCATCCCAACCATCTGAGCATCCCAACCACCTGAGCCCATTTCCTCAAATCTAGTGCCTAGGTCAGAGGAACAGCTGGAAGGAGCCTGGACCGGAACAGCCCCTGCCATCTTTTCCCTTCTCAATCCTGGGAACCAAGAGGGGATTTCTAAGGAGAGGGGCTGGCCAGCTCCTTCTGAGACAAACCCCTAAATTTCAAGGAATTGACAGATGAAGAAATGATTTCCCACCCTTGAGAGAGAGATGAGACGACCTCAGAAGAATAGCTAATATGGGTGCCCATTCAGCCCTCTGGACCCCAGCTCTGGGCCCTCCACACGTGTGTGTTGTATAGAAACATGTGTCTTTGTGTGCATGCCCATGTAGAGGCCAGAGGCTGATACCTGGTGTCTTCTAAAATAAGTGCCCTTTCCCCACCCTATGTCTAAACATCTAAATAAACCGACCTTAAAGAAACACCTTACATTTGCATTTACACAAGAAAATAATTCAGCACACACTTTTATTTTGCTTAAGTTTGAAGCTTTGCTTAATATTTGACCATCATTGTAAATTACATCTTTTAAAGAATGTAACCAAAGAGCAGAGTGGTGGCGGCGCATGCCTGTAATCCCAGCACTCAGGAGGCAGAGGCAGGCACACACTGGAGAGACACTAAAGAGTGACTTTCCAAAGCCAACACCCCTTTGGATGTGTTCTGTTCTTCTCCCTGTAACTCTGATGACAATAGCAGCAAGAAGCTTGTCAGGCAGCTATGGCGGGGCCAGAGAAATGAGCATGTCTGCTCCATTTCTCCACAGCCAGCTCTGTCTTGGCCAGAAGTCAGAAATGTCCTTAGAAATGTCTAAGGATACTGGTCCGTGCTCTGGTGATGTGGGAGTGTCATATATCAATCTGTTGATTTCATTGGTTAAGCAATAAAGAAACTGCTTGGCTGGCCCTCATAGGTTAAAACATAGGTAGGCGGAGTAAACAGAACAGAATGCTGGGAGAAAGAAGCTGAGTCAAGGAGTCTCCATGATTCTCCCATTCCAGGCAGACGCAGGTTATGGGCTACACAGATTATAAGAAATGGGCTAGTCCAGGTGTGAGAGCTAGCCTAGAAAAGGCTAGATAGAAATGGGCCAAGCGGTGTTTAAAAGAATACAGTTTTCCGTGTAATTATTTCGGGTAAAGCTAGCCAGGTGGCGGGACACAGCCCTGCTGCTCCTACTACTACATTGTGGCGCCCAGACGTGATGGGCTAAATCCACTTAAAAACCTGAGAAGGCTTAAAAATAAGGGAGAGAGAATTTAACACAGAGTTTTGCTGTTTGTTGGTGGCGTGCTGTAGAGAGATTTCCTGATTCGGCAACAGCAGCAGAAAAAATGCTGTGTCATTTTAAAGCACAGCTTCTTGGGGCTGTGCTGCCAGCGTGAACTCTGGCTTTAAAGCATTTCAATGGCTTTTATGGGACTGGATGTTTGTGTTCCCGCTTGGGATTGGAAGGAGAGTGCTCTGAGACCCTGCAGATGGCTCAGCGCTCCCCAACTGCACCTGGGCAGATGGCCGAATCAGGCTTAGGCAGGCGGGAGAGCATGGCGGATTAGGACTGCGCAGTGCTCTGCGTGTCAGATTTGGATGTAACTTGGATGAAAAGAATTTCTGTGCTGCACGCTCAGTCTCAGAATTAAAGTGCTGAGTGCCGCTCCTACCTGGCGGCCCCAGAGCTAGCACAAAATGGTATGTCCTCCATTTTGAAATTTTCCTGACTCAGCAGCAGGAAAAAACTGGCTGTTTTAAAATGCCGACTTTCTGGGCTGTGCCGCCATTGCGATCTGTCTCCTGCGGGAGACAGAGCTTTTGAATGGAGCATTTGGAGTAAAGTGCTATGATTTGTTTGATGGCAACTAGACTGCTGTGTGCCTAAAAGGGGGACATTGCGTGCTGCAGCTAAGCAGCTCCGCCAAGCTAATGGTGCAATGTGCAAGGATCAGAGGCACCAGCGGCTCCGCCATGTTGGACTGGGCAGAGGCAGCAGGCAGTGCCTGTTTTTGACCTAGGAATGTCACAGCTTAGATTCTTAAGCGCCTAGTGATTTAAAGGCGCAAATCAAAAGTGCTCCTGGATAGTAAAAAAAATGCAGATTCACAATAGGACAGATTCAGACCACTAAATGAGTCACACTGTTGGATGAATGTACGTAGGCTTGAGAGAGAGAAGAAAAAGAATATAGAAAATAAAATTAATGGTTTTAAAAAAAAGGTAAAGTCTTTAAAGAGACAGAGTACAGATAGTTAAGAGATTAAAAGAAATAAAGAAAAATAAGCCACGTAAAAATGGAAAATTCACAGAGAGTCTGGATTATGTACATTGTGTTTTCTTTAAAATTTTTGACTGTGAAGGAGCTAAGTACAGAGAGACATTTAATTATATGGACTGCCAAGTGTAACCAGAACAGATATCATGAGGGTATGACTTCAAAATTTGGGTCTAAGGATATGATGCTTTGGAGAGGGTCTTCTTTTGTTTTCACAGAGGACCAGACCCTGTGGATTGCATCTATCCTGATATGGTATGATAGACCACGACCTCCTGAAAAGTTCCTGTGAACACCCTCAAAAAATTACTTCACTCAACTGCCAACTGAGATAAACCTGGCACACAGGTTACACCCTAAATGATCTGACTAACAGCGCCCCCATTCATCAGGAAGCAGTTTGGAGAGAAAAAACTGCGCCCATGTTCCCAAAATATTGTTTATAAATGTTCTTTTACATTTAAAGGGGGAAATGATATAGATATGAATAATTTGCATTGGTATGGATTTTTTTTTAAAGATTTATTTATTTATTATGTATACAACATTCTGCCTCAATGTATGCCCGCGCGCCTGAGGAGGGTGCCAGATCTCAGTACAGATGGTTGTGAGCCACCATGTGGTTGCTGGGAATTGAACTCAGGACCTCTGAAAGCGTAGCCAGTGCTCTTAACCACTGAGCCATCTCTCCAGCCCCCATTGGTATGGATTTTAAGGGCAATTTTGTTATATGTATATGTATTTCTGATATTGATTAAGGTATTGTGATTGTGTAGTTCATTTTTAAAATGTAATGTATAATTAGGAAATAAAGGTTGTTGATGGATAATCACAAATAATAGTCAAGTTTGTAGTCATGTTACTTAGATTTTCTAGATATATAGAGATATATTTCAGTTAGATAGGCATTCTTCATATCTTTCAAAGACTGCAGAATATGGCATTTTAAATGTTTTAATAACTTAGGGCTTTTCATGACAATGAGACACGTCTGCTCCTGGCAGCACCAATCTACTTCAAGAGGAAGATGGGCATCGAAGAGGCTCGTTATGGAGTTTGATAGCCATTTGGGCAAGAAACTGCTCTTGCCTGGACTGTTACATAAACTGGACACAAAGAACCTGCAGAGAGAGGACTGCTGAACTTGCCTAAAGGTGAGATGGTCTTTCGGGGTTCCTGACTCATGAAAGAGTCTGCGAGACATTCTATAGGACACAGCAGAAAGTGACTGAACTGTCTTTGTAAATTCCTGCTTCATGGAAATGTCTGCTGGATGCTATGGGCCTGTAGGCCGAAGATGAATGCCCAAACGGTACAGAGGAACTTTGGGTGACTGTACAGGCAGTGAGATGTCTCTGTCATTTCTAGAGTTTGAAGTTTCTTATTTCTTGTTTACTTAGGTAATATTATATCCTTCTGGAGTCTTTGATAGAGTTGAAGAATGGATAGGTAGTTATAGTTTTCCATTGTTATGATAAAAGATAAAATAGATATAAATATTGTACTGTGATTCTTGCTTAATAACTGTTTTGCTATATGTAATCTTACTATGTTAAAATGAAAGCCTTTCTTTTTTGTTTAAACAGAAAAAGGGGAAGTGATGTGGGAATGTCATATATCAATCTGTTGATTTCATTGGTTAAGCAATAAAGAAACTGCTTGGCTGGCCCTCATAGGTTAAAACATAGGTAGGTGGAGTAAACAGAACAGAATGCTGGGAGAAAGAAGCTGAGTCAAGGAGTCTCCATGATTCTCCCATTCCAGGCAGACGCAGGTTATGGGCTACACAGATTATAAGAAATGGGCTAGTCCAGGTGCGAGAGCTAGCCTAGAAGAGGCTAGATAGAAATGGGCCAAGCGGTGTTTAAAAGAATACAGTTTTCCGTGTAATTATTTCGGGTAAAGCTAGCCAGGTGGCGGGACACAGCCCTGCCGCTCCTACTACAACACTCTGGTTTCTTGTTATCCATCCTTCCCTTTACATAGCAACCTAATGGCTATAACTGGCTGGATTCCATTCATAATCAGAGACTTCATTGGCTTTGAATCTGTCTCCAAAACCACAAGGATGCAGAGGTGCATGGTCATCCACCATCAGTCCAGGTAGACCAGATGGCCAACCGACTTACGTCCCTATGCCTCTAGCCAGTAAAGTCTCATTAACCCTTAGCCAAAGACCCTCGGTGTTGACCCCTTCCTGGAGACCCTCCTGTGCACTGGAGCGCTGCCTGTTTCCATCCCCTT